ACATGGCCCTGTAAACTTCATAACTAAATGCCTCATCCCGCCCCCCGCCCCACGTGAATGAACACATTCAAGATTCAAGTCCCTGCCGCGTCCATGCCATGCCATCAGCCTTCCATTTATGGACACCCGTTGTGCCCACAGGAACGCAACAAACGCTGGAGAACTGCAGGAAGGTAAGAGCCCCAGCCCATGGAAGCACGGATCTGCTCCTACAAGCCTGGCTCAGTCGCTTGCAGGCTGCGAGGTCTTGGGCAAACGTTCTCGCTGAGCCTCCGTTTCGCTATCTGGGAAAGGGTATGCAGGTGAGCAAGGTGCGGAGAAGCAGGTAGACCACTCAGCACGGTGCCTGCGCAAGGGGAACCCCACGAGATAGCTTTTGCTCCGGTTACTTCGCTCCCAGGAGACGACCGCATACGGCTCGCTTCACACTTACCTCCGCTACAGCCCACCTGCTCACCGTCTCACTAGCTCATCTGCGTCTCCCGCGTCAAGCGGCAGCCGCGGCGCGGACCCAACGGGCTGGTCGCTGGACTTGAGACACCGCAGCCACGAAGGGATGGGGGGCGGTGCGGGAGCAGGGGTTGACCAGCTCGCGCCTTTTGTGCAGAGCGGGGAATCCTGAGGCCACGCCCCCCAAGATGGGCGGTGCTGATAGGGCCGCGCCTTCGAAGCCAGCCCCGGCTCCGCCCGGTTCCGCCGGCCCTAGGTCCGCCCAGCCCCGCCCGCCGCGTGAGCCCCGAGACCCCCAGTCGCAATATGAGAGGTGAGGGCGGGAGCGCCGGTGTCCTAAGAAGTTGCCTTAACACCAGCACCCGCTCAGATTCCTAGTAGTGGCCATGAAATAGGTTTGAATGAGTGCTTACTGTGCGCCCTGCGCGGTGTCAAATCTTTCCACTAGGGGCTTGCACATTTACCGTGTTCGCATCTCTAACAACTGGAGAATGGGAACAGGGAGACGACCTCCTGGTCAGGTAGCAAATGAAGTGAAGAGCTTGCCTGAGCTCTGTTAACTGTGGCTTAGAATCCACTTGCAAATTGTATTCCCGTTATCTACACGTGGGCAGAATACTTCACTCGTGCAATACACACGCGTGCACGCAACTCACAAAATTTCCAAACTGCAGATGAAGAGACAAGCAGACCCAGAGATACCAGAGGAGGGCAGTAAAACCTTCAGGTTCAGCCTAAGGACTGCGTTTATTATCCAGGAATCCAGCAATTGGAAATCATTCCATTTCACAGGCGACTGGAGGCTCCCAGAGTGCCCCGAGGCCCACAGCTAGTGAGCAGCTGCGCACATTTTGTACACAAGCATTTGACATCCTTAACCTGTGCCTGAAAATACGTAGATTTAGAACCAGAAGAAAGATCTCTGAAACATATAAATCCAAGTTCCTTGTAGGCAAGTGAAGAAGCCAAGACCAGCAAACTAAAGGACTTCCCTACTCAATCACACAGTGTGAACCTACTGTGTGCCGGTCAGGGCAGGAGTGTTGCTTATCCCTGATGAAGACACTAGCGTGCGCCAGCTGCTTATCCACTCAGTACACACATTCTTACGAAGTAACTGAGCAGCTGCTATGCAGAGGTGAGCAGCACAGATAAGATCCCTCTGGGATCTGAGTCTGCAGTATCTAGACTAGAACCTGTTCCGGGGTTAATGAAATTGTCAGGATTTTCCGACCTCCCACCATTAGCATTAATGACAGATCCCTGGGGTCCTACATGCATGCCTGATGGCAGGCACCTGGACTAGGGTGTGGGGCATGCATAAGTGGGCACACCTGGGCTGAGAGATTGGGCTTAAAAGGGCAGTCTCATGGTGAGGCCAGTGGAAGCAGCAAAGAACAAGAGCAGAACCAGAGACCATGAGCGAATGCCAGAGAACCCAGAAGGAGTGAAGATTTGCTGAGGCTGGGAGACATGCCAGCCTCCTGGGTTCCTGGTCCCCCTGTCTGCGTGTACCTGCGTGCCACACTACAAATGATGTAAAAAGCACAACAGAAGCCTGAAAAAGCCACCGAGGGCTCCAGGACTCTCCTTTACCCGTCTGCCAGATCAGAGAGAAACTGCTCTGTGCCTTGCTGGCATTACAACCTGCCAAAGGATGTGGGGGAATTGAGGTGGAATGCAAGTGGGGTGAGAAGAGGGCCCCTTGGTGACAGGTGGGCACATGTTGACATGGAGTCAGAGAGGTGGAAACCCTTGCCCAAGATTTTGGTGTAGGTTAAATGCAAACAAAGAATAATGTAGACATCCTGTCATCTTTTTAAAAAATTTCTGTTTTTGAAACATAATTATTAGCTTAATAGTCATTTATTCAATACTTATTAAGTACCTACTAGGAGCTGGGCTCTGTTTTATGCATTGGGGCATTCAGCAGTGAACAAATCAAACTTTCTGCCTCTCAGCCCCAGTTAAATCCACTTACCCCTATCAACGCACTGAGGCTAATGCTGTTACTGGCAGGAAACTGGGCAGAGTGCAATCAGCTTTCTTGAGGCCGCGCAGCTCTGAGTGGAGGAACTGTTGCTTATCCCTGATGCCCTTGTCCACTCGGCTGTCACATCTTGTGTAACACTGAGCCTTGGGCCTAGGGAAATGGAATAGACTGGTTCCTGTCCCAGCAGAGAAGGGAAGCTACACAGGAGCAGTTCCTCACAGGCCCAGCATTTCGAGCAGGGGTGGAAGCTAACACTGAAACTTCCACAGTTCTGCTAACTTGACCCTCCATCTTCTTGCCAACCATTTTTTTATAGAAATTCTGAAGCTTCTGGCTAGTGAAGCTCTGAAGCTTCATGCTAGCTTCTGGCATGTCCCCAAATGGCTCTGGGGACACCTACCCCAGCCTGGCTTCTCCAGGAGCAGTTGCCAGAGCTGCAACTTGAGGGACCTCTCTGCAGTGTTGTCCCTGAGCCAAGCTCCCAACTCCCATCCAACCTGGAATTCACCATCTGGGCTCACTGCATACCACAGAACCTTCCAGATCCTTACCTTCTCCTTCCCTCAGTTTCTCCTTTCTCTCCTTCTGGGGTCTTCTCATCTGTTCCGTGATTCTGTTCTGTGCTGCTGAACCTCCCTGTTTGACATCTAATTGTTCCCACCACTGAGTGCTGATTTCCAGCAGGCACCTCCCTCTTGGTACTCAGGCAATTCAACTCCATGCAGCTCCATGAAATCCTAGGGGAAGAGACAATTGATACAGCTCAGTCACACATCCGTCTTGGCAGATGCCCAGCCATTGCTATAAGCCTGAGGTCAGGAGATGGATCCTGAGATTGGTGCCTAGGCCTTGAACTCCAGTGGCTAGGGCACCGGGAGTCTAAGTCAGAACAGGGGAGGAGCAGCTGCCCTAAGGAAGAGGGCTGGGCAGAGAGCTGGCCAAGACAGCTGTAGAAGAATGGAGAGGAGGCAGGGGTCAGGTGCTCTCTGGGAAGAGGTTATTATATGCAAAACCTAGAGAGAGAAAAGCCCCTGCATCCAAGCAGGGATCACAACAGGGGGTAAGACCAGAGGGTGAGAGCCTTGAGGAAGCCTGATAAACAATGCAGACTTTTTCCCTGTGGGGGAGAGAATTGAGAACTACCAAAGGCTCTGAATTTGGGCATATCATGGGGTGTCTGTGGGGAAGTGGGCCTGGGGAGAGAGCTGGAATTGATGATTTGAGGGTAGCTCCTGGCACCAAAGAGGATGTTCAGCCATAGTTCCCAGAACAGGTCCCTTCTGAGCACCAAGCTTGCAGGAATGTCAAGTTCATAGTGTAGTGCCAGGAAGGGCACTGAGCTAGTTCTTCATGACCAGAGCAGACCAGAGGGGTAAAGGAGAGACCTGGAGCCCTCGGTGGCTTTCTCAGGCTTTTATTGAGCTTTTACATGTTGTGCAGCAACCACATACTCAGCAGGCAGTGGGAAGGGGGGCACACCAGGAGGCCTATAGGCCTCCAAGCCCCAGTTCAGTCTTCACTCTGGGCTTCTCTGATTCTTTCTCCTGCCTCTGCTTCTCTTGGTGAATATATCAATACTGCAGTCATGGCCCACAGAAGTAAACAATACAACTTATAACAATGTAACAACTGCAGGTGCCCCATCAGGCAGGACAATCCTAATGGCAGGAGGGCAGAAAAGCCTGAAAACCATTTACCCTACAATAGTCTACTGAGCACTTCACAGGAATCCTGCATTCCATCTTCATGCCAAAGCTGTGAGGGGGAATCTATAGAATTTTTATTGAGAAGAAAACTGAGATTCACACATATAAACAAGTTGCTCAGGATCACACAGCAGAAGATACAGAGGTGAGAATCCAGTGGATTTCATAACCTGAACTTGTAATAATTCTCTGATGTATTAATCATTAAAAGTCTAATCCCCAGCCCCCTCCAATCTGGTTCTGGTCCTGAGTTCCAGTTGTGAGCTTTTGGTTATCAAAGGATACCCATGGAAGCAATGAGGTATTGGAAGGAGGGTATCATACTGAATTCTTTGTTATAAAGTTACTAGAATATTCAGCAACTTTTTTTTTTTGTCAGAACACTTGGATGAAAATGAATTTTTGGTTTTGAAGTATGAACACTTATCCTAAAACACTCATGAATACTTCCACCTCAGTCAAGGAAAGGTTTATAAAAAGTGAGGAGGATGTCAAATCCTCAACACCCAGCATGGTGTGGTTTGTGGCTGCCCTGGGATGAAAGTGCCAGCATCCTGGTTCTCATCTCAGTACTAGATTCCTCAGAGGTGTCAAGATCACTCAAGTTGCCTCCTGATACCTTTTTCTTTTCTTTCTTAAAAGTGGAATAATCCCTGATTTCTAATTGAGCATACTGTCACTCAGCTAAAACATACTTTCCAGCCTACATTGCAGCTTCTCCTGATCACAGAAAGATGTTTTTGCCAGAGACGTGAGTGGAATCGTTGTGCGTGACTGCTATGAAGTCTCCTTAAAGGGAGAGGGAGGTGTGCCATTCATTTTTTTTTTTTCCCCTTCTTCCTGCCTGGAAAATGGGTATTGATGGCTGGAGTACAGCAGCCATCTTGGACCAGAAGATGGTCCTTTTTGGGGAACAGAAGGTATGAGTAGTGGCACCTGGATCCATTATAGGGTTTTCTATCTGTCTCACTACATACATCCCACTTCTCTTACATAAAAGAGAAATAAAATTCTATTCCTAGTAGACAAGGAGGAGTAGTCTTTGTTACTCATCTTTGTTACTCATTGTAGGTAGTCTGGTACATCTGTAGCTTAGAAGTAAAATAGATCCAAGGTTAGAGCAAATGAACTGTTTGTTGTTATTATTAGGTTTTTTGTTTTGTTTTTCTTTTTTTAAAAAAGATTTATTTATTTATACATACAAGAACTGGGGTACAGGCCAGAGGCGTGGGGGGTGAGAGGATTCACCAGAAACAGAGACAGTGGGGAACAGAACAGGCAGACTGACTGAAGTACACTGCTGAGGGGAGCAGCGGGTGAGACAGGAGAGGTCTGCTGTGCCATGCGGTAGTGTTAGGGGGAAAAAGAAGTCCTAAAGCTAATTCCATACAGGCTTTGTGGACTCCACCCTCACCCCAGGCCAAAGCCAAAGACACTGGGAACTACAAATCTCATCACCACCAAAGGGAAGGTGGCTGGGACCTGAGGGTGGGGTTAAGCAGCCAGGTTGGTATAAAGCCAGACACGTGGGCTTTGGAGGGGTCCCCCATTTTGACTCTCCGCCAGCTCACAGCGTCTGGCCAGCTCGGAGAGTGCTTTTTGGGTTTCTAGGTGGGCGGATCGGGTAGGACGCATGAAAGACTTTATTTCCCTATTTTCTCCCTGAGTTGTACATTTTCCTTATTTCCTTTTCCCTTGTAAATAAACCTTTTATTAACCTTTTGTGTGTGCCTGTAGTGGAATATTAATAAGTCCCTTGTAAGCGTGCGGGTGAGGACCCACAGCCAGGCAACCCATTCAGTATCAGGGCTGCCCTATAACAGCAGCTCGCTGGCTGGCCGGGGATTGAACTTGTGCCGCAGAGGCTGCAGTGAGCTTCAGAGATTGCATCTTAACCCTTATGCCACCAGGGAGGCCCAGGTTTTTTTTGTTTTGAATCATCCATTTCCTTGTAGAGGAAAAAAAACAAAAGGAAGTATGATTACATCTCTGTGAAAAGGGGGGAAGAAGCTTCATTTCACAATTTCATAAAAGACTTTGTGCTCACGCTGCTCTGCAGACATTGATTTAAGAATCACCCAAACCCTTATCTACAACACAGCTCCCATCCATCATGGGTTTTTGCCCACTCTTCTCTCTCTTCCATTGCGTATAGGTCCAGAGAGCATGATGATGCACGACTGGACATTGCTCAGGAAATTCATTTCCTATGACCTGCATCTGGAAGCAAGTCCAGTGGAACCTGACGCAGATCTGGTGGTGCACCCCCCACTCTCCTAGCTGACCTGCAGGCAAAGGAACAAGGGAAAGTCATGGAGTTAAGGACAGGTTATTCACTTCACTGGGGCAATGGTTCCATCTTCTCTTTTTACTATAAGACACAGACCATGTCTCACTCCCTCTATCTCCCCAGTCCAGCAAGGGAAGATGTTTGAGAAGACCCTGTGCCCATTTCAGGCAGAGGGAAGGAAAGACAGAAAAAAGAATTTAAGTACTGATGGCCCCTCCCTGGGATAACTTAGGGGTTAAGAGAATGGATTCAGATTATGGATTGGACAACCCACGTTTGAATACTAGCAATTTCCTTTTGGACTTGAACCTCAGTTTCCTAGACCATAAAGTGAGGCTAAGAATAGTGTAGATCCCACAGTGTTGCTGGAAGGAATAAATAAAAAAGCGCTGAGTATATAGTGCCTGGAACACTGTCAGTCGTCCCAAAAGTAATCTTGAGGTTGATATACTGGAGATATTGGAGAGGAACTCAAACTAAACCAAGAACTATGTTTAACAATGACAAGTAATGGAAATCATTAGTTAAGTAAAAGTACCCCTTGGCTAGGGAAGGTTTGGAAAGAAAGTCTTCACAGTAGGAAAGGGGAGCAGAGAAGAGCACCTCAATCCTGATGGCTGAGCTTTTAATCCCTTACTTTATTTCTCTCAAATTTCTAGAGGCCTCCACTTTACTCCTTTGATGATTTAAATCATAGATACCACAACCAAGAGTTTAGGGAATATAATGCACTCAACTTCTGGTCTAGGTTTGTTCTGTTTCCCAATGGTAACCAGATGTAAGTCCAAATATTTATTTTATTGATCTTTTCCTTAACCATTTATCTCATGATTGGTCTTATTTTAGGGTAAACCTCTACTTTCTACATACCTAATGAAATTTCAAGTTTTAACATATCTATAAGCAAATAGAGGTAAATTGGAATTTAGACAAGTATGTAATTAATCTAAAAGAAGTAAGGAAGATGGAGGGGAAGAGTAACAAAGGATAAATAAGACAAATTGAAAACAAATAGAGGATGGTTTTAGCACAGCTATATTAACATTTATATTAAAAAAATGATCTAAACACTCCAATTAAAATGCAGAGGTTGTCAGATTGTAAAAAAAAAAAAAAAAATGTAAGGCCTAACTATGTGCTATTTGCAAGAAGCAAATTTTATTCATTTTTAAAAAAGATTTATTTTTATATATTTATTTATGCATACAAGAACTGGGGTAGAAGCCAGAGGTCCAGGAGGTGAGAGTATTCAGCAGAGACAGAGTGGGGAGCAGAACAGGTAGATCTATTGAAACACACTGCTCAGGGGAGCAGCAGGTGACACAGGAAAGGTCTGCTGTACCATGTGGGTCAGCTCACTGGCCAGGGATCGAATTCATGTCGCAGTGGCTGGCAACATCTTCACTGTGCTGAGATTTCAACCCCTGTGCCTCCTGGGAGGCCCAAGAAGCAAATTTTAGGTTCAAAGGTATAGATAGGTTAAAAGTAAAGTGAGGATAAAGTACATAACAATAAACATGTTTACACAAATCAAAAGAAGCTTGGGTAGGGATATTAATATCAGACTATACTTCAGAATAAGGAATCTACCAGAAATAAAGAGAAACTTAGAATGATATAGAAATCCACTCATCAAGAATATGCAAAATTCTAAATGTGTATGTGCCTAAAAATAAGTTTTAAAATATATAAAACATTACAGAACTGAAAGGAGAAGAAGATAAATTCAAATCATAGTTGGAAATTTTAATATTCTCTCACTAATTGATAAAACAAGTAGACAGAAAATCCACAAAGTTACAGAAAGCTTAAACAAAGTTACCATCTAACCATCTTAATTAACATTTATAGAATACTCAGCCGAGCCACAGTAGACTACATATTCTTTTTTAAGTACATAAAATATTCACAAGACTATAATCTGAATCAGAAAATATATCTCAACAGATGTGAAAAGAATGAAGTCTTACAAAATATGTTCACTGACCACAATGGAATTACTCTTAAAAAGATTCTCTATATGAAAAGTATCTGAAAATCTCTACATACTTGGAAATCAAACAATGCATTTCTAAATAATCCATGGGTGAATTAAGAAATCAAAGGGGAAAATTAAAGTATTTTAAATGAATGGAGATAAACATATCAAAAATGTATGGGATGCACTAAAAGAGCACTTAGAAATTAATACCATTAAATACTTACATTTGAAAAAAAGAGAGGTCTTAAATTGATTATCTATGTTTCTACCTTCAGAATCCAAAAAAGATGGGGATCAAATCTAGAGTAAGAAAAAGAGAAATCATAAAAAGCAGAAATTCATAAAACAGAAAAAATTATAGAGAAAATCAATAAAAAGACTTTTTAATCTCAATAAAATTGATCCATTTTTATCCAGAATAATTAAGATGAAAAATGGTAAGACAGACCAATAGAAAGAAAGACACAGTAAAAGGTTAATAAGAACATAATGTGAAAAATTTTATACCAATAAATTTGATCACTAAGATGAGATGGATAAATCCCTTCAAAGACCAAATTGCTAAACTCACTCAAGAAGAAATGGACAAGATTATAAGTTTCATATCTATTAAAGCAAGTTTGTAGTTAAACTCTTCCTATTTAAAAAAACTCATGACTCACTGGTAAACTCAACAAAACCTTTGTGGAAAAATCATACCAACTCTAATACTAACTCTTCTAGAAACAAGAGAAAGGAACACTTCCAAAGTTATTTATGAAGTCAGCACTACCCCAATACCAAAACAAGATAAGGACTTTATAATAAAAAAATGGTACAGACCTATATATCCCTTATAAGGAACACAAGTGAAAATCCTTAACAAAATATTAAACCATATCCTGTTATTTAAAAAAAGAGGCCTCCCAGAACCCAGATTTTGATTCATACACCACACATTTCTTTTTAAAGATTTATTTATGCATTCAAGAACTGGGGTACAGGCCAGAGGTGTGGGGGGTGCGAGTATTAACCAGAGACAGAGTGGGGAACAGAACAGGTGGATCTACTGAAATACACTGTTGAGGGGAACAGTGGGCAAGTCAGGAGAGGTCTGCTGCACCATATGGGTATCTTCCTGGCTGGGGATAGAACTCATGCTGCAGTGGCTATGCTTAGCTTCATAGTTTGCATCTTAACCCCTTGTGCTGCCATGTAGGCCCCCTATACCAGCCTCCTTATTAAAGGAATCAGGGTTCCTTAGAGAAATGACTGATTCTATGGATGGGACATGAAAGCACAGAGGAACTTAGAGTGCACTATAATAGAAAGCAAGGAGTGCTAAGGGCAACAACAAGGACAGGGTTATGTCTAAAGGATAGGAGTAATCTAAAAGACTTCCAATGACTAAAGCTGGAACAATAGGAACAAAATAATGTAGCACATAACCCAAGGAGGATATGGGAAATCTCTAATATCTGTGCACCTCTTCTGTGAAATCTAAAACATCCTAACTTAAAGAGTTTTTCGAAAAACCAATTGGGCCTCGCTGGTAGCACAGGGGTTAAAGATACAGCGCTATCAATCTATCACCAGAGTTCAATCCCTGGCCAGGGAGTAACCCACATGGCACAGCAGACCTGTCCTGTCTTGCCCACTGCTCCCCTCAG